TATCTACGTCGCAACCCTAAGAAGCGAGAATATAGAATCTTGTCCCTGTAACTCAAAGTTTAAGAGAAAGATTTTTTATTTATATTATTCTAAAAAGTTTTATGTCAACTAGTATTTTCAACAACTGACCTTATCATTTATCAATAACAATCAACCTAATGAAGATTATTAAAATTATAATTATTGTATGCTTCAAAAAAGACAAGGCAACATTTCTTAACCTAGGGTCACGTTGTCACCCGAGGGGTCGTTCATATTATCATTTTGATAAAAGGTCATGTGCGAACTTAACATTAATATGCGAAAAGCGTTTTGCAATTTTATATTCGTTGAAGTAATCATTATTTATTATACTGTCATGCAATAATGTAAGCTTATATATTGTATTTACAGTATCTAAATACTATAACCGTAGTTCACTTTGTTTTATCCCTAGTCCGGTATTTTCCAACGTGAGGCCCACGTCCCAAAATGGTTTCGAAGTGATTTTAACCCTCTTGCTCCGGGCCATTTAAATGCAATGCTACGAGTTGATATCGGTGTCAAATTTAACAAAAAAAAGTAAATTAAAAAAAAATGCTGTAAATATTTATTAGGTATAATTTCGTTTGACATTACCAAAATATCAACTGGGCTATTAGAGTCGTCAAGTAAACTTTGTCGGGAAAAATTATGTATATGTGGGGGCATAAAAATTTTAGAAATATTCAAGTTAGGCATGTCACAAAAAAGGTTAGAAAACAGACTGTCTATTAAATTTAGGAACTATGAATGAAAACACTTTATTGTTCCCTTCAAAGAATGATACAGATTATAAAGATTAACAATATGCACACAAACAAAATGAACAAATCATTATATAAACTTAATTACATAAAAGCAAGATAAAGAGGCAACAATCGGCGGCCTTATCGCTATATACTAGAATTTAATTTTATCCTGTACTGTTTATCCTAATTTATGAAGGTAAAAGTCGTTGGGATATTTGTATACTCTCGATTAAGCTAAAACGTCTAAACAGATTTCAATGAAATTTTGATTATTAACTAAGACTGCATAAACACCTACAATACATAAATGTGTTTAGCTAGTACATACTTAATGCCAAAATGTTCTTTTATATTTCTTATAATGCTAAGGGAAACAAAATATATTGTATACAAATGATAACAAATAAACTAAACTGTATTAAAATAATTTTGTTATTATAAAACAATGTTGACTTTTCTATACTTAATATTATAAAGAGGATTTTATTGTTACTTTGTTTATTTATAATGGGTAATCTCAAAACCTACTCAACTCATTTTAAAACTCCTTACACTTACAGAAGGCTATATTATAAGCGAGTAATATATGCTACATATTATTTTCGAAGTGTGAACCTGTGCGAAGCCGGGCTGGATCGTTAGTAATTTATGTTTAAAGAAGGGACAAAGAATAGAATTTTAATTTGAATTCCTAAAATTCTCTATATGTAGTGGCGCAAACTAATACACAGAAGGATGTATTGACTGCGATATGTAGTGATCAGACATCAATAATCAATACATAATTCAAATTATAAGGTTAATTCATTAATGGAATAATCAGATACACTTGGTGGTAATCATTGAATGATGATGTTAAGCAATTTCTAGCGCAATAGAAAATTTTGTTTGAATTTTGAAGTACCACTTAAGTGAGGCAATACAATATTCATATAAAAAAAAAACAAACTAAAATACTTAAATATACGCTCAAATATCATATAATTCATTTATATTGTGTCAATAGTTAACGATTTTTAACCTCTAAGCACCCTTTAAATTTAGTAGTTCGTGGAAATCTCGTTTTATTGCGAATAGGTGAATGCATTCTATTCGCCGAATGCTTGGAAGCAGAGTTCAAACCGCAAATGCCTCAGCAGTCGTTCTCTGTAGTATGCTACGTAAGTTTGTATACTAACTCAAACATCAAAAGTAATTTAAAAAAAACTACAGAACAAAAAATTTTAATTATAATATTATCTAATTTTCGTACTTAATTAATATCAACCGTCGAATGTTGTTTTACCCCTACCGCCTCTACAGAGTCCATTTATTTTTAACTGGATAAAAACTAACCTATCTCTTAAATTAGAACAAACAGTAAAGAAAACATCTAAAAAATCACATTAATAACGGTTGAGCGGTTTTGGAAATTAGCATGAACTACTTTTCATAAAATATATACCGAATTCTATATCTATTGGCCGTTTTTATAACGAATTATGAAGTTTCAAAAGTTACGTGGATAAAGTTACCAACTAAATCCACGCAAATGTATTCTGCATCTTTGTAAATTTATAATTACAAGTTCCAACTACGACAGTTGGGTTGCTACAATTGTGATAAATTATCATTTAATTATTAGTTAGACCCTACCTATCCTATTAGATAAAAAAAAACTACTGCAGTAACTGAGATTGTAATAAATCTACACTGGAACTTCGTGATGTAATTGTGCGTGTCAGTTTAAAATTAAATGTTAATTGGAAATTACGATACTACACAAAAAAAAACAATAAAGTGTAAAACTATAAGAACGTGTTCTTATTGTTTTACATAACAGATAAAAAAAAATTATTAAGTGATAATATAATGTTAGTTTGACTTATTCAAACATATGCAATTTACGAGTAATCCAGCAATATAAAAAGTAAAAAAAAAAAATTGATTAACTGAACATAATATATTATTTTGAATAAAAAATATATAAGCATTTAACAATCAATTAGGTATATTAAGTTCCTTTAGTTGATCGTAATTTAATCAGTTCATTATATGCAAATCAAGGCAAAGTAATTGAATATGTATTATTATTACAGAATTTTATTACAAGTTTAACCAAATCCATAAGGATATCCATACATTAAGATGTTTATCTACCGTTATTTTATTCTAATCTTGTAATAAAAAATGTTTAAGAACCTTGTGCTCTTTGGGGAATTAAGAAATTATGGATTATAGTATAATTAACTTTAAGTTTTGCGCTTGTAGTTATACGTTTAGGCCTTTACTAAAGAAGCATGGAAGCGATTGTTGTTTTAACGACGATACAGAATAGTGTTTGGATAAGCGACATGATTTGCTAAGTGTAAGGTTCTTAATTTATATAGATAATGAATAATTCATATATAGACATTGTATCGCATACGATATCATTGCCGGATGTTATTTAAAAACATCCTCTTTTAGAGTTATTAGTTAAAACTGCGGTTGGTCACGTAGATATATTGTAAATTAGTTTTGACTGCGAGTATTTCTTTAATACTATATATACGAATCATTACCGAATAATAAGAAAAAAAAAACTAAATAAGTATAATAGATTTGGACGTGTACGAAAATACGTCAAGTAAAATGTGTTGTCACAAACCACAAATAAAAAATATAAATAACTAAAAACAGTTCTTGCATTTATTTCTTTAAGAAAAATACTTCATAATATAAAATTTATATAAGACAATAAAAGAATTAAAAGTGTATATTTTATGTATAAAAAAATAAAAGCACTTTAGAGAGTTTTAACTTATGTACACGGATTTTAGTTTTCTTTATATGATTTTATAATAGTATACATTATGTTTTATAACGTATTTAAAAATTTACACCCCTTTTTAATTTTGAGATAATAATGTATTTAGCATATTTTAATGGATTTATGAATATAATAGAATTTAGAATTTAATGGCATACTTTCCAATGGGTGGAGCGTTTATGATATGCGAATGCAAGATTTAATGCAACGAAAACCACACTATAAAGTTGGCTATTATGTTTATTAAATTGTTCCAAATGTGCAACTCATATGGGAAAATTTACATGGAAACTAGTACAAAAGAGTGCAAATCTACATAGGTAGTTTTATTGCTGAAAATGACAAAATCTTGTTATATAATATTTTTTTATTACAGTTTACAGGCTAACGGACTTTATAGTAGTTCGTTATAGAAATATTTTTCAAATAATTAAATTCCATTTGAGAAGAGTTAATTAAATTTGGTCGAACTATTATTAAACGCAGCTTAGTATTTCTCATATGCAATATGCAAAGGAAACAGGTTCATTCTTATCATCTGATCTATTTTACTTAAGTAATAAATTGTCACGCGTAAGTAGTATTTGAAAGTCATTAATATCTTTCATTCGACTGACCTTCGGGAGTTTTGTAATACATACTTTTTTTATAAATACCTTGAATACCAAAATGAATAACAAGATAGATCAACATTGTGATCATTGCTTAATCCACATCCTTTTAAATGAAAGCAAACAAGGCTTGTTATTTCTTGTGAATTGCGAAATTTTAAATCAGGTAACCGGCACTAGTTCATCTTTAAGCTCACATGTTTATAACATACTTATTATATAATATTACAACATTTTATAATAAATTATGCGACAAATGTGTAACCACTATACTGTTAATTCTATTTATATATTTATAAAATATAAATATATTATATTATTTCAAAAATTATTATTCAACCGTCTTGTTGATAAGAACGTGTTGAAACCCCATAGAAAAGGGCTCTCTGACTTAATCTGAACATCGGCGATGTCGCAAGTGCATGCTTGACATACATACAGCCGTACACCTCTGTAGATGTTTTATGCGTACTAATGGAAGGACGCAAGTGCAGACCCAGGCAGGCTCAAGAGCTCAATTGGCAATTTTTGTGTCACACTTGACAGACGGGTAATCGCCGGCTCCGTGGGCCAGTGGCGCAATGCTTATCAACTTGACATGTGAACGCGCCCCTAATTTGACTTCTAATTAAAATTACTCAATTATCTTAAAGTACAAATTATGAATGTAGATAAAAGGTTTTGCAATGGGATGATCATAGGATTATTGTCGTCTATGAAACCTGAATCACTGAAATTAGTGAAATAGTTGTGTTTACGTAACAAAACAGGTGGAGGTCCTGTATCCCAAATCATCCCTTTGCATACCTATGTGCCAAGATCACTTACCTTTAATGGATGAATTAAATAAATATCGCGGCGGGAAAAATCACAGAGGCACAGTTGTAATATAGCGCGCGGCAGCTTTGGACGAAGTCTTTTATACTCGACGTAGCGGGGATGCGCGGCGCGTGCGCATGGGGGGACTGAGACGCATCAGTCTCCTACATGACGTTACTGACCAAGTAAAAAAGACCTCTGACAGCCGATTTTTCTACTTCCACCCCACGTTTTCCTCTGATCAATATCCGCTTTACTGCATCCGGTTTAATTAAGTGCATGCAGTATCTGAAGATAAATAAAAGCGTATTATTATAGTATTTGTAGAGATACGTTGATAGCTAACTGCACGCGCGATGACTATTATTTTCAATTTATTTTGGTTGTGCATTTCGGTGCACGTTTTGATAGTATTTAGTGTGTTTAATTAAACCTTGTTTTTTTTTTATTACTTCCTATATAAAAGATATTTAAACGTTTATGACTATTTAAAATATCCACTTAAAATATTGATCAAGTACATTTAAACTTCAAAGGTAGGTATTCTCTAAAATTGTAAAATTATACAACGCACTGTGCTTAGAGGAATTATTTAATATAATGCCCACGGCCTTCTACCATCGTATAGCGCGTCATCGATAGGAAGTTCACCCCTATACCTTAGAGTTTAGATGGTTGTGTACAGCGCGGTTTTAGAGATGTTTCCTCCTACGAACGCTCAGATTATGCAATAAGCTCTCTACAGTACGAGATTCTTCAAAAAAAGGATAAAGAGATTTCTTTAGGGTCGGCAACGCGTGCGTTGATATTGTAGGCGTTCATAGGACAGGGTACCATCAGGAGGGCCGTATACTTCTTTGCCATCTCAGTGGTATAAAAGAAGAAATAATCGACTCAAATTGCTTCTAGTAACCCTGTTCCTATAAGCATAGTCAATTATATTGTTTTAGGAGGGCAAGTTAAAACTGATGCAATTTCAGTATGTAATAATAGTTACATACTCGTATACCATATCGTGATTCAATAATAAATTTTTCGTATATTTTATATAAAAAATAATTTGGTAAAAATTAAAAGTATATTTATAGATAAATTAATTTGAGTATATGTAAATGTTAATTAAATATGTTAAGTTTCTAGGAATAAATATTCCTACAAATTTAAAATGACTCTAGTCATTTTTACAATAATATTATTATGGTAATTATCAATCAATAATCGATACGAATGCTACGTCTATAATGTCACTCTATAGCTGCAACCATGATTAAGGTGATCTAGTTAGTTATTTAGTTAAAGTTATTTACAGTTGAAATAAAATAATCAATTTAATCTTATTAATGGTACATTTATTTAGATTGAATACACATGTCAATTTCTAACTAAAGTTCCAATGTTGGAAAACATCATTAATAAACAGTTGTAGGCCGTGTTTAATGGGTGATAATGGAATGGTAACCCCAACCGCGCTATCGGTATACACCGGCGGGGCACCAGTTAAGGATGATAGGTGAAGATGGCGTGAATTTACTGGGTACAGAGGAATAACACCTGAGTCCTCAGAAATGGCAACGCATGGGGGGTATCATGGGCGAAACAGTATACTCTGTTACGTCCATGGTACTGCTCATATCTATAGGCAATTGTTACCACTTTCCACCAGGTGGACCGTCAGCTTGTTTGCCATTCAAAGTAGCATAAAACAATGAAGCAGGTCTATTAGCCCATCGTGACGAATTCAACATGAATTGTTCACGATGGTTTCCAGGGGGAACTACGTGGAGGTCGACCTAATAGGGATAAGGACGTAATAAATATAGCTAGCAATGGAGCTGTCAAACTTCATTGCTAACAATCCCTTTTCTCCCTGTAGGCTGTGGTAGGGCCCTATGTTGGATTACATTATATTAGAATGCGCTCGGCGAATTATTATCATATCAAGGGTTATGTTTATCACAACCGCAACCGTCGATTTAAGTCTTTGATTATCTACCTATCTCTGATTAGGAATTACTGAATACAAATAAAGTAGTGTTGTTAGATAAAATGAATGTCAATTGAATGGTAAATATGCTTGCATTATTGGTTCACGCAGCTAAGAGTGATACATGAGTTTCATCATTAATCTTAAAAAAAATCATACAAATTGATTCAGAATTAACAAAGTCAAATTTTACACGTAAGATATACATAAAAATAAAATAAAACAAAAAATCTTCTCTTTCTATGTCAGTTGATAAATGAAAAGGATTACAGGAAATAAAAAAAAATATTCACATTATGAACTAATTGATTTTTGTATCAATGATGCAGCATGATTATAATTTAGTTGTCTTATTTTACTATATATTACCCGGCGCTACATGTTTAGCCAATGTTATGCAAAGCTATTTAATATGTACATAAACAAATATTTATTGTGATGATAACTTATTAAATATTCAATATATGTATAATCAAGCCATTATGAAGTGCCTCTGCCTATAATATATACTCATATAAAATAATCACAAGTTTAGTTAGTATATATTAGTAAAATATTATATCATAAAATATTTATTGTAGACGCTTTATATTGCAGAATTTAAAAAGATCTAACCTATAATGACGAAATTATACCATAGATATCTTATATCTTGTATTTTTTGTAGTCAACCTTTGAGAAGCTGAAAGAAAAGTATAGAATGTTCGAGTAAGACAATTTCACAGTTAACGATAAATTAATAAAGTTAGTTGAAAATAAATATATTGTTCCATATTTATAATACAATAATGAATAAAAATATAATAATATCAATAATGCCATAATGGTATTAGGAATTTAATTATAGCGATTATTTAATAAACAAGTATTCAGTCGAATTTATGTTATTTTACGGAAGTCAAACTTACTAAGCTACTGGTTTAGTGGAACGGAACTAACCACAATAACACTAATGGAGATTAGTGTTATACTGGTTATTTCCCAAAAAAACTGTATTATTTGATTAATTTTAATTTGTATTTCTATTATTTTATTTACTTTCACTGGTTGGTAATAGCACATAGTTATTTAGTTTTGCCTTCCGGTGACAAAATATAAATACAACGTGTCACTACACCTTATAGTATCATTCATTCTTACCTCTAAAATTTCATAAAATAGATATGTATTATAAAAGAAAAGTTCGAAATTAACCTCATAATAAACCACTGCAGGCTTACTTATTATTCACTGAAATACAGGCTCAGCCTAGTTTGTAGCTAGTAGATCTAACTAAATGTATATCATTTATTATTCAATAAAGACAGTTATTTTTATTAAGTTTAATTTTTACAATATTCACATCTCCCCTCTTAAGGAGAGGAGATGGCAAACTAATCCCCAGCAGAAACACAGTTGGCCAGGGTTCAAGGCCCCAGGGAAAGAACCGGCCTTATTATTGTTATTAATATGGTAAATTTCTCCTCTTTGTATGACACAAAAGGCTGACCATATTTTCTCTTTGTATTGCCAGATATGATCACCATATGTGGCGCCAATTCTTTGGCTAACATAAACATTAATCAGGCAATCAAAGATTTGTTTATATATTTTTATAACCTTTAGACCTTAAAGTCGCATAGTTTTAACCCCATTTAGCATAAAGACAACCCTGTAGGTAATTTTCTTCACCTCCTGATCACATACCTCGCAAACAGTTTGCGATAGTTGAAAAATTGTTGATATTTACTGCCAATTTACTATTTTGAATATTTACTAAAATTGAATATTACTAGTGATCAGTTTCGACTTCGTTTGTTTTTTTAAATACAATATATCCTATGTTATTGGCTGATAATGCAGCTTTGTATTAATGAAAGAAATTTTAAAATCAGTTAAGTATTTTTTAGTTTATCCATTACAAAAAAATCTTTCCTTTTTATAATATTAGTTTAGATAAGCGATTAACGAGCGAAAATTGGTGCTACCTTTGCAGTGCGATTTATGAATTAAAATTACTGTTATAAATTAGTTATATCCATATGGTCGCAAAAGGCACTATTTAGAGAAAACACTTAATCCATCTAGCGATTAGCAAACAACCGTGCTACGTAATAGCATCATTTTTGACAAGTAGCAAACGGTCACGAAGTGACCGCGCAGTGTTTGTTAAATAGGTAATCAGCCCCACGTTTCAGGTTTTCTCCTACCACAGCAGCAAGAATCCAATTGAATTAATATGCTCACGATTATAATTCAAGATGATGTAGTCAGAGACAATAGTCAGTTGTTGTCATTGTGTTGATCAATGTTTGGACGTAACTCGCATAACATATCGTGGATTCTCATTATTGAATTATTACATTACGAATGAATATACCTCGTATTAGATACCTATATAAGGATCATTTACTACATACTTACATACCAAAAGAAAATGACTGTTTATTTATAATGATGTTAATTATTGCATGCTTAGATACTTAGTAAGTAATTTTTCATATTAAAATGTGAAGTCGGTTAAGTAATACTCCGTGCGGTGTAGCAAGTATGAATGACACCTTGATAGTTTTTACAATAAAAGAACTAGACTAATGCAACTGAAAAATAATTAAATGAAAATTTGTGTCAAACTAAGAACCATAACTGATATTTTCTCACGATCAATGATTTGTCGAATTTTTTTTTGATATCTAGTGTATTTAGAAAAAATATTTTTACACAACTATGTACGCGTGGATTTTGGAAGTTGGTAACACCAGTTTTGAATTTTACTTTCGGAAACACAAATGTGAAAACAGCATTCTATTTGATGAAACAATATTTGCAAAATACCTTGATAGACATATGGACAGACAGATAGACGAAAATTCAAAAAAATAATATTTTGACTTTTATACTCTTATTAAACTAGATAGTCTATATCTTATACTTCTTTCTATTTTTTCTTGTCAAAAAATTTCTGATGGCTGGCGAACTTTTGGTGAAATTAAGTTAGCTTAATAGCTATAAAATTTATTAGAGGTATTCATTATCTACACCCAAACATAGGCAATCCACATAATGTATCGTCCAGAACCAATAGTTTTATTTAAATAGTGATGAAATAAAACCAACGGCAAGTACAGCTCAAATAAGAATAAGAACTAATTTAATTAATTGAAACAGTTAATTAAAAATCTATAAG